CGCTTGCCAGCTACGCCTCGGCCGGCGCAGGGGGCGGAACCACGCATGCGCGGCGCTCCCGGGCAGGGAAAGTCCTCGACTTACGACCGGTTGGGTAGTCCTCGACTTACGACTGGTTTAGTCCTCGACTTACGACCGGTTTAGTCCTCGACTTACGACCGGTTGGGGTCGCGGCATTAAAAAGGTTGAGAACCACTGACTTAGACTTATATATTGCTTTATACTGCTTTCCCAAGGACTTCACACTGCTATACACTCTAAGCCAGTGTTTCTCAACCTTGACAATTTTAAGGCAGGTGGACTTCAACTCCCAGAATTCCACAGCCAGCAATGCTGGCTGTGGAATTCTGGGAGTTGAAGTCCACCCGCCTTAAAATTGTCAAGGTTGAGAAGCACTGCTCTAAGCGGTTTACAGAGTTCAATATACAGTAGTGGCCAAAATTGTGGAAACCTTTTGGGGAAAGCGTATTTTTTTGAGGTTTGATGGCTAATAACACCACTCTTTTTGGAGTAGTACCATTGTAGCCAATGAGCGTGAGTGTTTAGAGAGCCAATCGGGTGTCATCTTGTTTTAGCAATGAGCCAATCAGATCACAGTAGGGTTCAGTGATTGATGTCATATATTGAAGCGGAGAGGAGGACATTGGTCAGTGTGTTACGTGATCGCTATCAAATTGGTTGGGGTTTTTTTGTGTTCTTTCATTTAGTGAGCTTGTAAAACGTAATAAAATTGAAGTCACGGTGCAAAGAGTTGACTGGTTGCCTAGAAAGCGATGTAAAATAGTATTAAGTGAACAAGGCTACAATTATAAAGCAATTAGAAGAAAAAAATGGGTGGAAACTTAACCAAAGGTGGCATTTCTACTGTACACTTTTCCCAAAAGGTTTCCACAATTTTGGCCACTACTGTAGGTAAAGAAATATCTCTGAATCAATGACCTAAGCAACCACTTGGTTATTTAGTTCTTTATAAAACCAGCAACAGCATCATTCTTGCCTCTGCTGGTTTATTATAAAATGCTGGAATGACATTAATGCTACTGTACCTTCCACACGGATATAAGACCCTAACACTAAGCTTTGCCCTTTGTACATGAATAATCATTTTGGCTATTAAAAAAGGAAACCAGCAGATAATAAAAGGTGTTTTACCTGAACAATCAGTGTCGATGAGGCTGAAGATAGTCTCCAGATTGGACAGGTTTCGGTAAATGCTTTCCAGCAAACTCGACTGAAGGCGCTGAAAGAAACGAGACCACCGTTCACGCAGAAATCCCTTAATCGGTTTTCGAAATATGGGTAGAATTAGTCAGATATGCTTAGCGTAGGGTAAAAATATATTGAAAACGTATTTGTGTCTTGTTTACATCTATGGAATGATGGCTCTTTCTTCAGCCTCACTGGTTGCCATATTGTCACCAAATTCCATAACTGGCGAGACATTTCAGGAAGAGGAAAAGAAGGAATAACAATAACAGAGTTGGAATAGAATAGAATAGAATAGAATTTATGAAATGGAAGGAACAGAACAAAACAATAGAATAGAACAGAATAGAAGTTATGGAATAGAATAGAATTTATGGAATGGAAGGAACAGAACAAAATAGAATAGAACAGAATAGAAGTTATGGAATAGAATAGAATAGAATAGAATAGAATAGAATAGAATAGAAGTTATGGAATGGAAGGAACGGAACAAATCAATAGAATAGAACAGAATAGAAGTTATGGAATAGAATAGAATAGAATATAGAATAGAATAGAACAATAGAAGTTATGGAATAGAATAGAATTTATGGAATGGAAGGAACGGAACAAAACAATAGAATAGAACAATAGAAGTTATGGAATGGAATAGAATAGAATAGAATTTATGGAAGGAATGGAACAAAACAATAGAATAGAACAATAGAAGTTATGGAATAGAATAGAATTTATGGAATGGAAGGAACGGAACAAAACAGAATAGAATAGAACAGAATAGAAGTTATGGAATAGAATAGAATAGAATAGAATAGAGCTGGGAAGGACCTTGGAGGTCATCTAGTCCAACCTCCTGCTCAAGCAGGAGACCCTATGCCATTTCAGACAAATGGCTGTCCAGTCTCTTCTTAAAAGCCTCCAGTGATGGAGCATCCACAACTTTTGAAGACAAGATGTTTCACTGATAATTGTTCTCCCGGTCAGGAAATTTCTCCTTCGTTCTGGATAGGATCTCTCCTTTTTAGTTTCTAGCCATTGTTTCTTGTCTTGCTTTGGAAATAGGTTGACACCCCCCCCCCTTCTTTGTGGCAGCCACTCAAATATTGGAACACTATCATGTCACCCCCTCGTCCTTCTCTTCATTAAACTAGATATACCCAATTCTGGCAACTGTTCTTCATGTTTTATCCACTCCCTAATCATCTTTGTTGCTCTTCTCTGTGTCTTTCTAGAGTCTCAACATCTTTTTATATTGTGACCAAAACTGGATGCAGTTCTCCAAGTGTGGCCTTATTAAGACTTTATAAAGCAGTACTCATATTTCATGTGATCTTGATTCTATCCCTCTGTCAATGCAGCCAGGGATTGTATTGGCTTTTTTGGCTGCTGCTGCACACGGTTGGCTCATATTTAAGTGTCCACTAGGACACCAAGATTCCTCTTACAGTTACTGCTATTGAGTTAAATTTCACCAAATCTGTACCTGTACGTTTGTTTTTTGTTGCCTAAGTGTAGAAGGAGAACGTGACTATTGGCATGATGCTGGTTTTCTTCATTCCCACAGACACTCTACTGCAGGGGTGTCAAACTGCCGGCCTGCGGGCCGGATGCATCATAGCAAAACCGCACCCATCCCATTGCCGACAATGGCAAAAAAAGTCGCGATACATCGCGACACATCACGTGATGTTGCGAGTTTCACACCCCTGCTCTACTGCAATACCTCTTGGGTTGCAGATTTCTCTTCTGTCACAATGTCTTTAAGCCACGTCCTGTAGTCCACTTTTCCATTGGTCAGTTGCAGTATCAGATGTGGTCTCAGCATCCTCCATGGCAGTCCTAGCTGGAGGACCGACTCCATGGCTTTTGCCCAGTCGTTTATGGTGATGAGGCCTATGAGAACACAAAAATAGGGTGATTAAGAATGACTTGGTGAAGGTCCAGTGTTGCAGGGAGTCCTTGAGTTATGACCATAATGGATCCTGGGTTTGGTGATCGTTAAGTGAATCTGTGGTTTTTAAGTAGCATGGTTCTTAAGTGAGTGCAGTAGTCGTAAACTGAATCAATGATTCACTGTGGGCACCGTTTTGCCGAAAACCAGAAGTAACTGCCAGTTTTCGGCAAAATTATTGTAAAATGCAGTCACACCATATCACAAAAAAGATGTTGACACTTTGGAAAAAGTTGAGTGAAGAGCAACTAAGATGATCCAAGGCCTGGAGACTAAAACATATGAAGAATGGCTGCAGGACTTGGGTTTGACTAGTCCAGGGGTAGGCAACCTTGGCTCTTTTATGACTCATGGACTTCAACTCCCAGAATTCCTGAGCCAGCATGGCTCAGCTTGGAAACCTCTCCCTTTCCCCTCAGCATGGCTGGCTCAGGAATTCTGGGA